TATGTTAAAAGGAATTAAAAAATATTGATTCCACGTCTTACAGGAGGCCTTTTAGAGATAGAGTTATAAGATTAATGAATGGTTCACTGAACCCAGGACCAAAAAGCAACAGTTAGTACTTGTAAGATATCCCAGGTAACAACATCTCTCTGTGCAATTGGGTTGAGTGTTGGGTTATGACATTCTAGAGAAATACACGAGAAAGGTAATGGAGGAGGTTTATTTCCCTGCCTGACTTCAGAATACAACCGTAGGAGAGGTCATGCAGGTATGTGAACATGCCGCTCCCTCTGTGTTTTGAGGAAGGAAGGGTTCAACCAGCAATAGTGTGAAGTCACAATAGTCTGTGAAGTCAGACAGTATTAACCTGGTTACTATGCCTTTTCACAGTGCTCCAGCATGTACACGGAGCAGCGTCATGGATCTCTTCCAAGTCTGTCCATATCTGGATACTTAGTAATGAAGAAAGTCCATTTAACCTTCTCTACCTTTTTTTTTGTTGTTGTTCAAAAGGAAATCTAGGTCATACATTCATAAGGATATTATTTCTATGATAAATTTTCTTAGTTGGGAGCTGCCATTACCTGTTGTTTCATCTCATGATTGACTTCAGCTTTGTAAATAATGAAATAAACAAAAATGTCCTTAGCTACTCTGTCAACTTATCCAGTCCTCTGAGTAAAATGTAATAGAATAAAAATGTTAACTATTTATTCCTCATACTTGCTCATGGACCTCAAAAGAGCTAAGAAGAAGTAATCTCATTATTTTATGAAAATCTTTTAATAAAAATATACACTACACTATTAAATAAATCTTAATTATTTTTTTTTCCAGATAGCAGACACTGTAGTGATGACTGTCCATGTAAATCTGGAGCCATCTGACTGTTGCTCACTGCTTTTCTCACAACTCTTCCTTGCAAAACATTTAAAGATAGCTACATTTGTATTATCTTTCTTATTTTTGCCCACATGGACAGTCAGGTTTGCTGCATGTCATGAGTTGAAATGGTCATATTTATACTGTTTGAAGAGGGAGGACAGTCATTGTGTCTGAATCAATCTTATCCTAAGCCTGGCAAGCAAAAAGGACAGCCCTGGCAATCAAGTAGTTGGGGCTGCAGCATAACCTTGAGTATGGAGCCAATGTGGTTGTGAATATGTGAAAAATCTGCAGATGGTTATGGTCTTGTCCCTAGTGGTGAACTCCATCATTTCAATGGCTACTGCACTCAAAGGAGTCAAAAAACCACAGAAATACTGCTAAGAGGTCCAAGTTTGCAGCCTCACAGCCTTTAGGATAACTGTCACTTTTTTTTTTTTTGGTAAAACCAACTTCTGTGAATAAAGTTACTCAGGTGTGCATGTATTTCCAGGACTAATCCCTCAAACTACTTTACCTCACCCTTCTGATTCACAATATTGTCAGTATATTGTGTTTTGGGTTAAATTTGAGAGGTGCTGGTTGCTTTTATTCATTCCCTAAATTTATGATTGTTTTAGTAAAAACAAGTAAACCATTCAGATTTTCCTGTGTACTATGAAATAAATGCTAGACATTAATTTTCTCTTTCACATACATACACACTTGTGATAGTGTGATAACGATCCATGATCAGAATGGGAGATGATTGCTTACAAGATCATTGGGTATTCACACCAGAGGAAAACCTAAGTAGTAATTAATGCCTATTTCTTTGTGATAATGCATAACCTGAGGAAAAAGTGAAGGTCGTTCTATTGAAGGGATACAAGTTAATGATGTGAAAAAATGGAGAAACATACCAAGGCTGAGACAGTTTTTTGTCAATAACGTACAACCTTTCTGGCCAGAGAAGGTTAGCTTATTTCAGTATTTGTAAAGCAATGCATTTCATGGTCTCTCTCATGACGCAGCTTGTCTGCTGTGGAGTGAGCATAATGCTTGTGGGGCACATCACAGTTACTCAGTGTAGACAGCTTGAGTCCACTATACAAGAAGATTATGGTGGTTCTGTTTGTATGTGATGGATTTACTTTCCAAGAAAGCTCCTATGCCTGTGCAATTACAGCCAAGCATGAGGCTGGACACCTAGAACAAGAGCAAGGTTCTGTTCAGGTGCAGCTTACCTGTGCCTGTGGACGAGTTCCTGAGCCATGAGCCAATTTCTGTCACACTCTCAGCTGTCCTGAGAAGGAAGATCCCCAGGAGCTGGAATAGGCTCCCTTGACAATGAGTTGAGCACCCCTCTGGCTCTGCCTCAGGAAGGACTTGTGATATGTTTTATTTGTTACCACCTGAACTTCATGACTGAAAGAACAGTGTAAGCCTGATGTCCTATTTGATGATTAAACACATTATTTTACATTTCAAGGATTTAAATGTATCATACTTTATCTGGGAAATGAGAACTTTATAAACCATATCTGATGCTATTGTCTGACTACTCTGATGTGCTTTGAAGGAGAACAGATATAGATTTCATTTTAATTTGGTCAGTAAAGTTGAGTTTACAGTTCTTCATTGCTAGGGCAGCATATACCTAGTAGACCTTAACAGAAATTATAGGGTTTTTTCCTGATTTATACCTAAGGAGTAGATTTTTTTTTTTTTTTTTTCCAATGGGACAAAAAAAGAGTTATGCCTACACTTGCTGTTAACTCTAAGTGGAAGAATGGTGCCTCATGTCTTACTAGGAACTTGTTTTTATTTAATTAAAGAGTGAACAGAAAATAAAAAAATCAAATATATTGGAAAAGAGAAACTTTAACTGAATATGTGTCCATTGACTCTCTCCATAGTAATTATTGCCATTCTGGAAAGAGATGGAGTTATGGACAGCTCTCAGCTCACTACTCAGCATATAAGAAAATGGCAAATCTGATGTTAGGAGTTATTAAGAAAAGAACTGAAGGCATTATTACACTATTGTGTCAGGCAATTGTGTATCCATATCTAGAAAGTTGTTATTCTCAAAAAAGGAGTTACTTAAAAAGGATGCAGGAGATCTAGGAGGGGTAAAGAGAAGGCCTTCAAGCTTGACCAGAGGTAGGAGCTCCACTTCCACACAGGAGAAGCCTTGTATTGTTGGGGCTGCTGAAAGTAGTCAAAGAAACTCCACCTGAAGGCATCACGCTTGTCTTCTGCAACATGGCTCACTGTGGGTCTCACAACACATCACATTGCCTAGGCTGTTATACCTACTGCCTACCAGGATGGACTATCTTGTGCTTTGTAGACTAAGGACATGGAGAGGTATTAGATATGAGACATTGTGAGAATGAAGCCTTTAGATAAAGAGTCACTGGCCAGAAACTTTTAAAAGGTATTTGCCCACTTTCTCAGCCTGTCTCATAGTAGATCTGAAGCATATTTTATTGATTAGTTTGGGAGGCAGTAAACTGAATCACTTAATCCAAAATGGCAGTTTAGGTTGAGAAAGGGAAGAAAGAGAGGCCTGTTAATAGTTTTAAAGGGAATTTCAAAGTCATATGAGAAAAACAGGCTACTACAGCTGTCCAATATTACAGTGGAGACCCGATCCAATAGACTTAAATTCATTTTTGCTCAGAGAAACAGATAAGCACTTTAATCTCACCCAAAATTTAATACTTTTAAAATTTAGACTTTTAAATGGTTTAATGATTGAGAGATAAAATTAAAAAAAAAAAAAGTTCATTTATTGAGCATATTCTGAAATCGTCCCTTCTGTTTTATCTTTCTTCATTGTAGCTGGCACCTGTAGGTGTTGTAGCTCTTTAAACCACATCCAAGTTGGAGATTAGGAAGTATAGGGCTTCTTCATCTGCCTCCTCAAACTTTTGAGTAGCTATTTGGTTTTGCAGTGCAACATTTTTTCTTTACCATTTTTCATGGTTCCCTCCCCCCTCCACACTTCTTACTGACATGTAAAAAATCCTCAACTGGATAGAGCTCTTTCACTAATTACATGAAATGTTCTTCACTAAAAGATTTGGAAAGTTTAGCTTCCTGCACTTTTTGTTATGTATGGTTTTGTGTTGCAGAGCCAAAAATACATCAGTCTTCTGTTATTCAAGTCTTTCTTGCTTTTCTAGGCAGGTGTCAAGATGTAGCTATTTTGCCTGTTAATTTCTGGCTCTGCTAATTGGTTTTTGTGGGTTTTTCCCCCCTTTAATTTGTATGCATTGAATTGACTTTAATTAAACTGTTTGACAGACAGCTTTTTCCTTTATTCCCATAATTATTTTTTTTTTTTCTTAATCCTAACACATCACAAAATGTCTGCTTTCATTTACTCTGTCATCAATTCACTGTAATTCCATCAGAGTCACTGGATGTACTTGGAATTTACCTCTGTATAAGCAAGAACAAAATCTGATCCCATGACTGGCAATCAGACATCTGAATGGATGGAAAGACCACAGACCTTTCCAAAACAGTATTCAGTCTTTACTCTTAATGGATTTCATGTCACCAAGGAATGTGACAAGTGATTACGCCAGTGACCATGTGGTAGGAAAAGAAATCTAAACATGTGAATAAAAGAACTGGATATTAGTAATGAGCAAGTTGCAAATTAGCATATTGTGACATAATGGAAGCCTAGTACAAGTCAGATAGTTTTTAAGAAGCCATCATGAGTTTTATTTTTGGCTTTCTTTCCCTGAAAAGAGAGTAGGAATACCTTAAGTGGTTACTCCTAGTCATGCTTACCTCTGGTCACTAGGCACTATTTAATTTTCTGAAAGAGTAAAGTGTACATTTTTCTAATCTATGAAATCATATGTTGCAATTAATTGCTTCTGAGTTGTGTGAAGGCATTTGACAGTTAAAGCTTTATAGTGATTTTTATGTGCCCTTCAGTAGAGCAATTTTGTTTTCTTAAATGCAAAAGATTAAGCAAAACTAAAGAAAGGTGTGCATAATGTTTACATCTAGCCCTGTTTCTAACAAAGTCTAAAATGTCAGTAGTTCATCTCGCAAAGGTTAAAGTGCCATTTCCCAGTGTTTAATGGAGAATCACTTCTGTTCTGCAGAAAAATGGAAAGGAAGAGGAAGAGCGGGGTCACATTTTGAGACAGCACGAAGACGGAGCAGAGCTGTACTTTATCATATCTCTGGACATCTACAAAGAAGAGAGAAGAACAAATTAAAAATAAATAATGTAGGTGTAATTCTTTTTCAAAAATTTACTCTTAGTACTGTCTTTTTTTAAAAAAAAAAAAAGTGTATTGTAGAAGGTCAGTGAATACCTAAGAAATATCTTAGGCATAATTTTATGGTAACAAAAGGAGTAAAGTGCAGTTCATGCCTACTATGGTATTTGTTACACTTCATTATAGCAAGTCATTGCATTTAGCCATACTGTAAACAGATATTTAACCCCACGAAAACCACATTATAAAATTGCTCAGAACTTAATTTTAGATACCAATTTATATTATAATCCCAATTATTTCATTTCAATAATTACTCTTGGGGAAAAAAAAAAAAAAAAAAAAAAAAAAAAAAAAAAAAAAAAAAAAAAAGAAAAAAAAAAAAAAAGAAAGAAGAAGAAGAAACTCAGGGTATTACCTCTAGCTGAAAATCTCTATGCTGTGTAAGCTCTGGAAGGTAACACTTCATTTAGGCAACTTTTCATGGGAATTTCTCCAGTTCTAATCAGTAGGTTCAATCCAGGTTTAATCAGTAGGTGAATGTTGCTCAAACCAAATCAAACAATAGACAAACCCAGAAATACAGCAGCAGAAAGACTTGTAAAGAAATATGCTCAGGAGAAAGGATAACTCCCCTGCTCCATGGAACTATGTTTCAGGAGAAAAGTTAATGCAGAAGAAAACTAGAAATGCATATGAAATCAGTATGTACATATAAAAATGTTAGAATAATATCTGAGAGCCTGTTCCAACAGCGAGAGCCTATAGTTATTAGACAGGCATGGCAAAAAGATAGTTTTTCTTCAAATCTAAAACCAGTATTTAGTTTCTTGTTTGTAGATCATTAGCATCAAAAATCTAAAATCTTTGACAGAGCCACAAGAAAATGGTCTTTATTTTAGTTTTGGTTTGGGGGGGGGGGTTATGGTTAAAGGGAGGATGGAAGACAGATAATAGTAAAAGTAGCCAAATGGTGTAGATCATGAACACCCTTGAAAAGATGATCTGCCACTGGGCATGTTCCTTTTATTGGTTATCAAAATAATGCAGTAGTGCAGATACATCCCCCTAGATATTATTATATTACAAATTAAAAGCAGAAGCATTTTGGTATAAATTAATGACATGAAAATACACAGCTGATATACGCCTCAAAGGACATACAGTCACCTCCACTGTGAGTAAATGCTAAATGTTAACCATGTTAAATGTTTGAAAAGCTAGGAAGTTTTAAAAGTGTTAAGTGTTTAAAAAGTATAAATTAAAAAAAAAAAAAATCAAAATATGACCACATCTTCTGGTGATATTTTCATAGAATTGTAATATTTTTCAGGAATATGAATTTTAAATAGCTTTTGGTGACTGTACTGTCAAAATCCTAGTGCAGATGATATTATACTGGTTTAAAACACTTGTTGTCAGACTAATTTACTACCTTTAGTGCCTAGACTTTTAAAGCTATGAATTGGAAGTCATAAGAGGAACATTTTATTCTCTGCAATTAAAAATGGGCTGATGATAACAAAGAGAGTTCAGCTCCTAAGATTCATGAATGAGAATCAAGAATGGAGAAGGCAAGGACATCAGTATTTCAAAAGAAACACACAAAGAGAAAGGCCGTGACAGGCAAGGAAAATATAATTAAGTCTGCAGTCATGTAGTTGTTGTCTTTATATTCATAGTAATCTTAGCTTTCTGAACAAACAATATTGCTTTGTGAGGTTCTTCATTATTGGAACAGCATTAACAAGGATCACAATGACAGTGAGCAAGAATTATTTTAGTAAATAAGACAGTTCATGTACCACATGCTGCTTTTCAGGAGGGTAGATGTTTTTGTTAAATCTGAAAGGTGAAAGTTAAGAATTTATAAAACATGAAGACTGAAGTCTTTGTGCTGGTTAGATGACAAAGACTTGAGACACATGACAAAGTAAGTATAGTCTAAAAGTGAAGATAGGTAGTTCTGGATCTGTATTATGGTAGGTCTAGATTAGTATTTCAGTTTAGATGAAGAGTGCAATTTTAAAGAGAATAAAAAAAGTTATTCCCACTAATTGTTCTTTGCTTCATAGCAGTCTCAGGCACATTAACTGGATTCCCTCAGACAAAACTAAACCAGGAGAGGTGCTCTAAGTACTGACAGGTATTCTAGAACCAGGCTAGAGTTAGTATGAAACAACCTTCTCACAGCTCTAAAATGTGTACATGAAGGATGTTTTGTCTTCAGCACCATCTATTCCTTTCTATGCATTTATTCCCTTTTGCAGTCCTATGTACTATGTACACAAAACTTTAACCTATCTGTCAAGACAAAAATCATAGCTCATCAGAATTCACCCAACAGAGGAAGAAATAGTTTGCCAGATTCAGTTCCCTCCTCATTCTATTTAATCTGTTCCTTATTAATACTCCTCCTGCCCCAACATTCACAAAAGTTCCATCAACAGAAACATCTGTCTAAGTGAGTGTGAGGACCACATTAGAAAAAAACTCTAGCATTAGTTCTTGCCCAAATATGACTATGTCATATTTCATTATACATTAAAAAAAAAAAAAAAAAAAAAAAAA